GTAAGTTGTAGTCTTGGCATGACAGATGACTGGAGTCAAACCCTTTTGCTTGCAGCAAGATTTCTACAAGTGAAGATCTTACTTTCATTCAGGCTAGATTTTATTTATTTAATCTCCCAGCAAGACACTGGCAGAGACTTCTCTACTTGTGACACATGCTTTGTTTTTCGGCAGTGTTTTGGGAGAACTGGTGACAGGAGCAGACCTACACCTAATTGCTCTCCTTTGTACATGTCTTCACACAGGGAAGGCCGGGCTGCCCTTGTCACCTCCTTCTGCATGTTCAAGTACATGGCACTGTACAGCACCATTCAGTACCTTGGTGTTCTCCTACTGTACTGGGTATGTCTTGGGAACACGTTGGCGCAAACTGGATGAGTTACTACTCCCTTGTAGGAGAAACAGAGCATAAAAGCCAGAATAAAATTAGAGTGTGGAGTTTTACCTTTATCTGAGCTGCAGACTTCTGTGGTGTGATCATACGGTCCTCCTATATCAGCTGAAAACTGTAAAGATTCTTCCTGTTAACTTCAGCCTGTGGGCTCGAGATCCAGGCTGAGTAAAAAGAAGGCTGAGATGAGGGCATATGTCTGTGAGAAGGGAGAATCTGGTGTAAGCATATGCTGTTGCAATTTATTTAGCATTTAAAGCATGAATTAACTTGACAGTAAGCAAAATCCCCTGAAGTGCCTTAAGCCAGTTTTGTATGGCTTCTTCCCAAATAGAGAGGAAGCCTTTGCATTCAGAAGTCACCGAGCATTGAAAAAGCACACTTCTTCAAATAGCCTTCCTTTTCACTGTGTTGAGTGAACTGGAAGCATCATTAGTCCAAACAATGTACAAAATGAAAGTACTCACTGCAGGCGCAATGATGACAAATCTATTGGCAGGGTGGTGGATTGTGTGGTCCCCTTATCTGGTGAGGAGTATTGCAGAATGAACAGCAGAGCATTAGCTCCGTGAAAATAATACAGCTTTCTGGAGACAATACATAAACAAGCTCACAGCAGTTGTCTGATTTGTGATGTATTTTCTTTGTGTTTCTCTTTCCAGCAACTAAACTCCTTTGGGAATTACCAATTTTTGTTCCAAGATCTGGCTATTACCACTGTAATTGGTGTGACAAGTAAGCCCCTTAGTCATCCTATGTATTAATGAGAGAATGATCTCAAATATTTTTCACCTCCCTGGAGATGCGTAATCCTATGCACAGAAAGGAAGAAAAGAGAGACTACATAGAGTACAGGGTGTTTAGCAGAGAAGGTGTCTTGTTTGCGAAAAGCTTTGAAATAAGATGGGTGATTTTCAGTGGTACATTTGCTGAGCATGTAGGCTGTTGATAATTGGGATGTTGTCTCTAGGAGGAGCAACAACAGACCTAATGCAGTGGAAAATCTATTCAGGCTTTTTCCTGTTAACTCAGGAAGGCAGATTAAGACGATACCCAAGGATCCATGCCCATGTGAAAAAGTGTAGAGATGACTGTTTGGAATCCAACTTGTATTTGAAGTAGTGCAGACAGGAGGCATGAGAGCAAAGATAGATGAAAATGGAGAAGAAAGACATGACAGATGTCAGACACTGGAAACCAGGAAGCTGTAAGCTGAGAATAAGAGAGTAAACCAGTGCTGGGAGCAAAAGAGGAAGATAGAGTAAATGCAGGGAGAGGTTTAAAAACAGGGGCATGAAAAGCACACAGCAAAACTACATATCTGTCTTCTGTCCCTGCTAGAACACAAACAACTAGAAAAGACCTTGATTAAATCAAGCCTGAAAGGGTCAGCCACAATACTACCTGTCAAAAAAGCTACCTTGCTCTAAGTAGCCCGTTTTGAACACTGTATCAAGACTTTCTGTATAGCTCTTTTACTCAACGTCTGGATAATTCTGTTAAACCTAAGAACAGAGGAAAACCTGTTGGGTCAGCTAATGCAGTCCTCTACCAGCTCGAATAACTGGGCACTAGGTGCTTAGTCCAGGAGGATGCACAGAGCATGGGCAACAGAAAATCCCAAGCCACAGTTGATATGTGACAGAAAGAGAAAAGGAAGGCCTGAGCATGTCCTTGGGCCTGACAGCAGTGCAATGGAAAAAATAATCCAACATTTTATTTTAAAAAAATGCATTATGGTAGTCAGATGTCATTAATTAACTTATTCTGTGGCAAGTAAGATTTTGTGAGAAAACAACTCTGCATTTTGTACCTGATGTAGTATTTATATGTATCTAAATAAATTTCTATGTATATAAATAAAGAACATAGACTATAAAAGTGCTGGCCATTTATAACGGTTAGTAACATACAGCAGCACTGCTTGTACTTTGGACACACTAGTAAAGATATCTGTGCATGTTGCAGTGAGCTTCACAGGTGCCTACCCAAAGCTGGTTCCCTACAGGCCTCCAAGCCAACTCATCTCACCCCCGTTGCTGCTCTCTGTTGTACTTAACATCCTCTTCAGCCTCAGCATGCAGATTTTCGGGTTTGTGGTGGTCCAGGAGCAGCCTTGGTATTCCAAGACCGATATATACAGGTAGGTCCCCTTCTTGGGACTCTGGGTGACACAGGGCAGACCTAGTGGGACAGTCTGTATGCTACTGTTAATCAGCTTAGCTACAGGCCTGACCAGCAGCTGCAGGCAAACCCTGTGCCTCCTCACAGGGTGCAAATGCATTAACCTCTGCTGTCTGCAAGTCCTTAAGCTCTCCAGCAAGTCTGCTGTGCAGCAAAGAGCACGTGGTGCAAATGCTACTGTTGAGTACAAAGAGGAGTATTTGATTGCAGGGAAGGCCAGGGTGTCCAAGTAGGTTTGAACGCAGGCTCTGCCAAGTTCCACAAGCTCAACCATGGGTAAGATTGAGGACGTTGCCAGAAGCCTACATCCTTGTCACAGCAGGAGCTGTGAGGCTGTGAGGGAGGATTAGTGTTCATGGTAATGGAAGCTGGGGGAAATAACCAGGACAGTGAGCATTCACTTACTAGTGTGCCACTCTTTCAGTGCCTGCCTCTCAGTGAACACGGAGAATTCTTCCTCTGTATCCAATCTGGATTTCCATCGGAGAGATGGAGCCCATGGGCAAACAGACAATGGCTACAAGAGCTATGAGAACACCACAGTGTGGCTGCTAAGTACCATCAACTGCCTCATCGTGGCACTAGTGTTTTCCAAGGGAAAACCTTTCAGGCAGCCCGTCTACACAAACTGTAAGTATGGGGAGAGAGGGTGGGATCCGTGGGTAGGTCAACTTAGGAGGTCAATTCACTAAAGAAAAATTAAAACTTGACCAGTCACACTAGCCAAAAAACCAGGAGCCCAATTTTAGAATTCTAAATGACCGAAGGCCACGTTTTCAGAAGTTTTAGTCCAGTGCCATCCTGTGACCAGCAGCTCTCTGAGCTGGGCCCACACTTTGTATGTCTGTACTGCTGAAAACTTGGCCCTGACATTTATATTTCTGAAATAAATGAAGCTTGATAAAAAACTTGTAAGGAGTATCAGGAAGGTGGTGTTTACTGGTAGAAGCATCATGTTCCTTAAGGCAGCCTGAATGAAACATCTCAAGAAGTGCCCGAATTAGGTGGTCTCATTTTGCTTTAGTCTTAGAATAACTCTGGAAGAGCCCTGTGCCTGACTCCCCAAAGCATGCTGGCTGGGAGTATCTGAGAGAACTCATGTTCAGGGCATTCTTTGTACCCACTCATAAGAAATCTGCACATTTGCAGAGGCCCTGTGTCCTATTCCAGAACTAGACATGTTCATCATTTGCCAGCTCTGTGGCCAGTTAACTTCTTTAAAGAGGGAACATCAAAGGAGGCAATAACTTGAAGGGGCTGTAGTGAAGTCTAGCTGGTCTGGTCTGCCTCTGTCTGGTCTGTCATGGGAAAGGATGATGAACATGTGATTGTGGCAGTTCTGGAAGTTGCAGTGAGGCATAGGAAAGCTATTCTTTTTCTCTGTGGCACAAACACTGCAACTGTCTCTCAGGCAAAGCTCTGTTCAGTTCTTCTTTTGCTCAAGAGTTAAATCAACGTTGCAGGTTTCATGGCTTTGCTGTTTTGGTATAGCAATAGGGAGGAGGGGACATCAGTCTCCCAGGACAAGGCAAAACCAGAGTGAGTGGTGAGGGGTGAAGTTTGGTGCATGCCAACTGAAGAGAAAATTTACTCATCGTTTTAACATTTGCCTAAGAATGGGGAGGGTAGTAGTTTCTCCATTACTTAGACACTTTAGGTCCTGATTAAGAGCAAAGTCTAGGTATCACTGAAATTGAGGGCAGAGTTCCTAATCATATCAACAAGAGCAAGACTATGTCCTGGACATTTTTCTGAATAACAAGAGACGTGAGCTCAGAGTGAAGCTCACTGGAAGATCTAAGGCTTCTCAGATGTGAGCAGTCAGATTGAATGTTCGAAATATTTGTTTGGTGTTTTAAAACTGTGGCTACAAGTCTTGTCCCAACCTCACATATATCTACTTGACTGAACAAAGCTGGGGTTTTACTCTGCTCATTTTTCTTTTGCTGAAAGTTCCTTCCTATGTCATGGATTTTTTTTTTTTTTTTTTTACTGTCTGACACATAAAATGATTACAGTTTTCTGCAGTAATGGCAAGCAGCTGAGATTGCTGATAAACCTGTGGTTTTATTTGTTTGTTCTTGTCCCTTCAGATGTGTTCATATTGGTGCTTATAGGGCAGCTGGGCATTTGCCTCTTCTTGGTGTTTGCTGATATTGATGATCTCTACACTAAGATGGATGTGAGTATTGTTCCAAGGTGGGTTTTCTTCCTGCTGCCAGTCCCACTTTAAGTGTACTAGGACTGTTTTTAACAAAAGGTGCAGACTTTTACAGGGATACATGGCACCTCCAAAGAAAATTAACTTTAAAGAGATGGGCTTTAGATGATGGGATTGAAGAACCTGCTGGAGATATGATAGCTCCAGACTAAGCTCTGTGCATTCTGACATGTGGACAGCTGCACATGTACATTTCATTGTTTCAGCGCATTGTCCATGCAACAGAAGATGATATCACTAAGCTCACCGTGCTTGGTATTTTGGTGGCTTGATAGCTGTGAAGCCAAGAGAAGCTGGAGCTAGGCCCTGCAAGTTTAAACTAAAGTATCATGCACTTGTGTTCTCAGGCTGGGCTACTCCACACACAGATCCTCTTGCAAAGAAGATCTGCCAGCTGGCACTCACAGCACCTCTCAGTTCCCAATATTTTCACCCTCTCTGTTTAAATTTCAGACAGCCCGTGGTTTCCTAAAGCAGCATTTGGGTTTAGAACAGTTGTAGAGAAACACTAGTGGGGCTGTCATGGCAATAGAGGGTCTATCTTGATCCTTGGTTAATAAATACCAGTAGGGCTTGGCTTATTTAGTCTGGCAGGATGCAAGCTGGGAGTTGCAAGGGAAATGCAAGGGAAGGGTAAGATCTACATCAGCCGCAGGACAAGGTTGTCAGTGCACCTGGCAATTAGTATGTTGAGGCTGGGAGCTGTTAGCCTCCCCCGCTGCAGCGCTTGCATGGCCTTGTAGTAGGAGTCACAGGAACGAAATAGCAAGAGCAACGCACCTGTTTTATTTTCAGTACATTTGTAATCAGAATGATGAAGTATGGAGGCTTTGAATAACAAGTACTGAACATGACACTCCTTTCAGTCTTTTATGTTTGTGTGACAGTTAGCCGTGAATTTAGAAATGGAAATAATGAAACATGGAAAGAGAAACATAGACAAGGGGAAGGGACCTGGATTTTGAATGCCCATCAGCCTAGCTAAAGCTGCCCTGCCGTGTTACCGTTTCCAGAGAAGCAGCTCAGTGGGCAGATCCAGTTAAAGAATCTGCCACGAGATGGCACTTTAAAGCAAGTCTTAGACCTGTTGTGGTCTCTGATGACACGAGGTTGTCAGCACTCCAGCTATGAGGGGCTAGAATGTCTTTGGGGAGAACTGCAAAATTCCCAGGCTGGCTTGAAGGAATACACTGTGTTTGCTCAGAGGAGAAAAAGAGAAAGTGACAATAAGAAACTTTACAATAGTCTAGCCCTGGAGGAACTGCTGATTGAAATTTTGGAGCTGAGCTACATCTCCAAAATAAGTTGAGCTACAGCCAGAATACCACTTCTGCCAGCTGTGGGAAGCTGGAGCTGGATTTGGAGCTGAAATACTCAGATTTCAAACTATTTCCTACACTGGAAAGAAAGCAAGCACTTAGATCCCCTGTTGCAGCTCTGGAGTGTAGTTTTGTCTGCTGCATCATAATTTTAAAAGTGTTTTTTCAATAATTCCTCAGGACAAGCAGCAATATTGGCTCATTTGCAGTATACAGACTGTGAGGGTTTCTGGCTTTTGATGACGTGAAGCTGGTGAAGGGTCTAGAGAAGTCTATGAGGAGCAGCTGAGGGAACTGGGGTTGTTAAATCTGGGGAAAACGAGGCTCAGGGAAAACCTTATCCCTTTCTACAACTGCCTGAAAGGAGGTTGTGGCAAGGTGATTGTTGATCTCTTTTCCCAGGCAGCAAGTAGAGCAAGAGGCAATAGCCTCAAGTTATGCCAGGGGAGGTTTAGGTTGGACATTACGAAAAACTTATTCTCCCAAAGGGTTATCAAGCACCAGAACAGGCTGCCCAAGGAAATGGTTGTCACCATCCCTGGAGGTATTTAAAAGACATGTAAACATGGCATCTGGGGATATGGTTTAGTGGTGGACCTAGCAGTGCCAGATTAACAGTCGGACTTGATGATCTTAAGGGTCTTTTCCAACCTAAATAATTCTGACACATGCTCCCACCAGTGTCTGGTGTGCAAATGTGTTGAACAGCTTCTCCTGCTTTTTTCCCAGCTTGTTTGTACCCCTACCACCTGGCGCATCTCCATGGTGATAATGCTTGCAGTCACATTTGCTGTGTCCTTCCTTGTTGAGGTGAGCATGCTTCACTGAATGTGTTGGGTCTCACTCCTCCCTCCTCCTCAGCTCAGCTTGGGAATATCTAGTAAAACAGGCCCACAGCTGAATGAATAGATATAAGTGAATGCAAAGCACTCTAGTGAGTGGACTGTATCAGGCCCTTCCACAGGCTAGAGAAATATGGGCAGTCTTTAGTGTTTTCTGCTCAGATCCTGAAGACTATCAGAAGAAGCTGGTTCCTCTGGTGGAGAGCTTTGGTGGAGCTGATATGAGAAGTGGTCAGTAACAGGCTATTTAAGGGAAGTGGAGGAGCAGGACAGGGTGGGAGATTTGTGTCTCTACCAGCCCCGTGTGTGTTCTGTGGATCAAGAAGGAAAACTGCTGTCCAGGTCCCCCAGAATCTTTCTTTTTGCTTTTGTTTTTACAGGAAGCTGTCATCGAGAACAGATCCTTATGGCTGTTTCTGAAAAAGCCCTTCCAGTACCACTCAAAGAGCCATTACAAGAGGCTGCAGCGAGCATTAGAGCAGGACTCAGCCTGGCCACCTCTGAATGAAACCTTTTTCTCAGATTCTGTGGCAATATCAGTAGAAGGAAATATGGGAGGCCATAGCAATCCAACATTTGAAGACAATGAAGATGCATTCTGAGGGAAACTGGGGAATATAAATGTCCAGGCCAGTTGCAGTTGGCTGTAGAAGGACTAAGTCAGAGACATAAGAGGAAGGATTGACCCATCATTCCCCCCCTGCTAAGACTAAAAAGATTGGACTTATTTTTATATTATCTGGGAGCAAAAAAGCTGGGTGCAGTAACATAAAGCCACAACGTTTCTCCTGTCCCTTTGCTCACGTGTGAGTGGCTGCCAGCTGTAAACGGAACAAATCACTGAACACTGGCAAAGCATTCAGGGTTGAAACACCCCATTGCTGCATCCCTCTTGTGAACTGCATTATGCAGTCCATAGAGGTGGGGGCTCCTTCGATGAAAAGTAGCTAAATCAGATATCAGCACTCCTCTGAGGAGATACCCTTTGAGAAAATAAGTAGAACTTGCTCCTGATAGAGGCTGCTGAACATAGGCAGGTACTGGGATTCCTGTAGCTCCTGGAGTTTCAGATACTGCTACCTGGTATTTGACATTGGGATTTTTTCACCTTCTGGCAATATTTGGATTTCTGGAGCTGGAAGGAGTTGCAACTAGCCAAAGCCTTCTAGAAGCATCCACTCCCAGCAGTGTTGTACTCTTCCCATTGTGGGAACAATGCAGAGCCCTATTGCTAGCTCTGGTACCATGCAACCTGTGTGCCCTCTTCTCAGTTTAAAATGTGGTACTTGCATTGTCTGAGTGAAAAATCTATTGACCTATAGAGCAGAATGATTTAATTATTTAACAATTCTTTTTTGAGGTGTTTGTTCAGGATATCCATTAAAAAAAAGTAGGATGAAACACATGAAAATTGCAAATTATGATCTCATCCTGTGGGTCTACAAGGATGTGCTGTCACCTTGGTGTGAACTTGCTCTACTAGAGTGGATGGTGCACAGCTGGGCTGCTGCCTGGCATCAGCTCCTGGTTTACCAGTGCCAAAAGAAGCAGACATTGGAGGGGCTACTATGCCCAAGGGCTAAAACCTGAGTTAAAAGACACGGAGCCAGCTAGGGCTCAGAATAATTATATTAAATTCTGTGACATGCTCTTAAATTGCACCATCTGAGGTTTTGGTTCTGGTTTCCAAAATCCTAATTGCAGATGCTACACACCATGTGTCATTCATCAGCTCGTATCCCTCACCTGTTAACCTCTGACCTGTTAACCTTTTACTCACTCTGCTGTGCTGCTTTAAGGGCAACATCACCACACAATCCTGCAAGTTTTATCTACTCAGAAAAAGCAACTCCTAGCAGTGCATGTTCTCTTAGCCCTTTCAGGCTGACTTACTGCTCTGTCTGTTTTGCAATCTCGGTCCCCAGCTGGATAAAACAACAAGGTATCAGTCCGGGAAGCTTTGGGCCAAGAGGAACACTTCCTTCTTTGGAGAATGTGCTGCAGGGGAGTTGTCCCCTCTGAACTGACTGCACAATGTTTTTCACAGCTGGAGCATGCTCATGTTTTTCCTGGGTGTGGCCAAGGAGCACTTTGGGAGCACATCAACACTGAGGACTGTAGGTTGCCACTAGCACTTGCGTTAACACAGCAACCCGGAGAACCAGGCAAGCTGGGAGTCATGGCGAAGATTCCTGTAGTCTTTTAGAGTAAAAAAGTAGGTCTGGAAAACCAAGAGCAAATCAGAAGATATTATGGATTGTTTTGATTCAGTATGTCTGTACTAGAACAGTGTTTGAAAAGAATTTAGCTTGAATAAAAAAATGGCTAATATTATTTTTCTAAAAAGAAAACAAATACAAAAGTGTTTCAACTTGAATAAAACGTTTGACTCAAAGCAAATTTTCCCCAAATTAGACTGCGGTTTACGTAACAGCAAATACTTGTCACAGAGCCACACAACTTGACACAAACCAGAAAGGGCTCACATTTATTCATAAAAGCGTCTCCAAGCTTAGCATGAGTTCCTAGTTTTTAGCAAAACCTACTGGAAAGTGAAGGTGAGATGCTCTGTGGAGTTCTTGCAGCTTAAGGAGACACCGATGAGCAGGTCAGTGGAGTTATTCCTGCCATCCTCTGAGATAAAGTGACATTTTTCTTGGAGACAATATTCAGTGTCCAATTTATGAACTCCAGCAGACAGGAAATATGTTGCTGCATGTGATAAACTAGCAGCTGCAGTAGCACTGCAGACTAAGCATGTGATTTATGTCACAACTGAGGCCGTAAAAGTATTGACTCATGGCAAACCTGTGGCACTTCCAGGGTCAACAGATAACGACCTGCTTGCTGGCTGCTAAAATACAGCCTTGCCTGCAAGAGAATGGAATTCAGATGATCGGTGACATTTAACCTCTACCACTCTTTAAGCTGTCTCGTATTCTGTCTTTTTGGGTATGTCCAGTGTGTCCAGCCATACCGGGGCGTGTTTTGTCATCTTCCCTCGGTGGCATCAGCCACAGTTCAGGCAGCAGATCTGTGCGGTGTGTCCGAGCTCACTGAACTCCTTATTACGGAGCAAAACTGGCCACCAAGAGACAAGCAATGTGTTATGCACATCCTTGATGCAGAAACCAGCTCGTAGGCACACATCAACCCTATGTTCTGCTCCGTCACCTGTGGTGGAATATCAGAGGTCCCAACCCACATCCCAGTGTTGGGCTGGTCCCCTCAAACTTGGACTGGGAATGCAGGGTCAGGATGAGGAGTAAGCTAAACTGAAAGCTTCAAGTGTGTGCAGGATTCACATCTGCACTTTGTGTTTTGAGGGTCTCTCTAATCTGAAAGGATCTTGTACTTTTGGAGATCAGGATGGCATGAACAGCAACAAGCATCTTCCCACCTCCAGTCTGCCTGGCAGGCACCTGCCACGCTCCTTTTGCCCACTTGTGCATGCAAGAGAGGCAGGTGCAATGTAGGTGCTCATTTCTGACTCAGTGTTTGAACTTACTGCTTGGCCCTCCCAGCTTCTAACACTAACAGAACAGTAGAGAAACAAAAATAAAACTTAGCCACTTAATGAATAGAGTTGTTCCCTAGTATTCGTAAGCGTGCAGCAAATTCTGAGGCTGCATAAGGGCAAAGACAGATTGACAGCCCTGGATGTGGCTTCCACAGTCCCCATCTGCAGTCCAAGCTGTCCAAACACAGAGGACTGAAGCTCCAGGCTCACTTTCTCCTTTTGTGACTGGCAGTGGATGTTGGTTGGAAAGACCCCCAGTGATCTTTGCCAGCAGACACTATCCATCCTGGTTAGCTTTCTACAACTAAATCAAAGGGGCAGACTCCCTGGAGCCAATCCACTGAGCTGTGCAGCCACTCTGAACAGCTAATTTCAAAATTTGATTTTCCTTTTGAAATGCACTTGTCCTAGTTAATGAAAGAAGAAAATCACTTTTATTTTTGTCCTTCCCATTTTTTAATCACTTGTTTTTCTTGATGCAGTCATCAGTTTTTGTCTATTCATCTAGAGCTCAGCCTGCTTGGCAGCACACACAACCAACGGAGGAACAAAGCTCCATTTAGAAGATGCAGACCCTTGCCAACAACAGCCATAGGTGTGCATAATATTAACAACCTAGAACATTTTACAAGACATACCAGCTTTCCACTCGCATAGCACTTTTTATCAAAGGAGCTTGATGCACTTGATGCAGCTCTGCAGAATTACAGAGGAGGCTGCAGAGATAAATACCTGCCAAGGTACAACCAGAAAAGGAAAGCACAAATAGCGGGTGCCTAGATCACCCATTTCAAGGAAAGGAAACAGATAATTCAGTTATCATATATTGCAGGTGAATGTAGCCAACAACTGAATTTCAATGACTTGTTACTCACTCTTCTGGCTTCTAAAGTCTCCATGCTGGAAAAACAGACTTGGAGCATTCTGCACCAACATCCCTCACCAGACAGTGCTCAACCCCTCTACAGCCGTGGTGCAGTTGGTGGTCAGATGGCCTCCGAGCTGGGAGGAGGAGCAGGAGCTGTCCTGCAGGTGGTTCAGTGCACCGGGCGCTGGTTACCAAATGCATACAAAGACACCATCAGCCAAGCCAGGCTGTGTAAATTTGCTTCCTCGTTGGCTATCGGCAATGGGGACACAGTTCCTCTTTGAAGAACATAACTTGAGGTCCCGTGTGTCTGAAATACAAAGCATATTTCTCCCTGCTCAGGAGCATCCTGTTTCCACAGTGTCCTGTGTCGTTGGTGACCACAGGAGGTACGTGCCACTGACACAGCTTTGGTTGCTCAGTGTAGCTCACTGTAGGTAAAAGGGAGTCAAGAAACATCCATCCATATGTTTTGTTTAAATCTAATTAATAAATCTCCTCAGGACTTCCTAGATGATTAGCAGACAGGGTTAGGATACTAGCCTCCCCCTTTATTGTGTAATTGTCCCAGCCTTTGTCCTAGGTCACATGATGGATTGCCCCAGGTAAAGGAGCATTCTATTTCGAGAAGAGAGTGAGGCTGGAGGGAGAAAGAGTGCATCAGAAAATCATAACAGGCTCTTTCTCCTGAACCTACAGATTACTTAGGAGGTGCTGGAAGAAGTGCTTTTGACCTGGGAAGCAGTTCAGAGAACAGGTGACACATTTCATTTATGTCTTGCCCTCCTCTTGCACCCCACCCAAGGCCAGGTAAATCTTGGTTTGATAACTCCAAGCCATGAAAACCAGCAATGCTCTCTCAGCCATTCCTCTGCACGCAATCACCATGCACGTGCCAGCCCGTGTCCAGCAGCTACTGTGAGCAGAACTGCCCGTTGCTATAAAGCAGCAGAGCTCTGTGGAGGTCACAGGGGCTGCACCCCGCAGGGGAGTGCCAGCTGCCTTCTGCAGCAGTGCCCTGTGGCACTCCAGCCCTCTCTGTAATCACCCTTACACAGAGTCACTGCCCACTCGCTACTGACTTGCATGAGAGCCTCAAGCTGCCTCTCACGGCGTTCTGTTACCGCTGCTGTTAAATCTTTACAGCCTTTCTGAGCACAGGTCGTACAGGAGCATGCTGTCCCTTGGATAAAGATGGTAG